TGGTTTCTCTCTTTCTGTCTTCAGTGCTAGGATGGAACCCAGGGCACTGTGCATACTAGGGAAACGTTCTATCTCTGAGTCACATTTCAACCCAAGTATTGTTCTTATCCATGAGTCTGTGCGTCAGCTGGAGCAGGCAGGCTCCAGCTGGGATTCCAGGATGATCCGTGTATCTCTGCATTTTCTTTGGAACAGCTACTCCCTGGGTCATGTGTTTCTCAAGGAGAATAGCAGGGACTTCAAAGCCAAGCGTACGTACATTTAAGGGTGATCATCACAGTCACTAGGGGCCAGTGAATCTGTAGCCAAGTCTGACAGCTGTGGGGGAAGGAATTTAACTCCCTCACACCTGCTGTGTAGGGGACAGGGATGTGTGACTCTTTTGATGACAGAAATGGAACTGATCACATGTCCCCAAAGGACATATATACCACAGGGCTGGCGCAGGTCTCTCTCCTGGTTTCTCCCCAGCACGTAGAGCGTTCTTGGAGAGTTAATAATGGATATTCAAACTACCCAAATAGCATGACACAATGATAAGGCTGTCCTTCTGCTCCCAGCTCCTAGCCCTGAAAGGTTAGGGGCCTCCTCCCCATCTCCCTAACAAAGCTCTCCTGCCCCCACCTATCCATGCCCAGAGATGAGCTGCTGTGACTAGAACCCTGAGAACTTCCTGGTTCCCTGGGGATGGACGTGTCCACAGAAATCTCCATGTCTCTCTCCCATACCCCGGGACCCTCTGGAAGTAGCTTCTAGGGCTCTCAGGGGCTTAGACAGCTCCTGTATCTGGCCCCTGGTCATTCCAAGCCTGGCCTTATTTTCTGACTTGACCCCTGTGTCATCACTTCTACCTGACTGTGGGATCCTGGCCAGGGGTGGTGGGGGGGGGCGGGGACCAAGCCTAACAATCACCAGAGACCCTATGGTAGGATTGGTCAGGTTCGCTGGAAGAAAAAGTTGCTCTGAAGGATGATATTGGACAATCGATGAGACCTGAAAATGGACTGCATATTAGATCATATGTTGTGCTGTTATTAAACTTCCTGAGGCTGATCATTCTTCTGTAGGTAAGAGAATGTCCTTGAAATATTTAGTGGGTGGAAAGATCAAGATTGCTGGGACTTACGACTTACACACTGGCTCAGCAAAATAAAAGACTAACAATAATGGTGTGATTATTATTATGTTAGTTACACAGAGCAAAAGAACAAGGTAATGTGCTGGGCACAGTGGTGCATGCCTATAATCCCAGCATCTGGGGAGGCAGGAGGATCATGAATTCAAAGCCAGCCTCAGCCACAGTGAGGCACTAAGCAACTCAGTGAGACCCTGTCTCTAAATAAAATACAAAATAGAGCTGGGGACGTGGATCAGTGGTTGAGTGCTCCTGAGTTCAATCCCCAGTACCCTGCTCCCCCCAAAAAGAACAAAGTAATGTGATAAATGTCAGGAATAATGGAGGGAATAGGAATATGGATGTTTATCATGGTCTTGCAACTTTGCTGTAGGATTCAAACCCTTCAAAATAAGTTTAATAATAAAAACAAAAACTGGTGGTGAGGCTTTTCGTGTACTCGTGAGGAAACGGACCCCCCCATTCCTGACCCCTTATTTTCTCCCAAGCACCCCCGCCATGCCCCTGGGGACCCAGGGCTCTGTTTACTAAACATTTGGCAGTGAATTTCCACCCCCTGATTTCATCAATTATAAATGTGCTCGCTACTCACCACAGGGCAATTTGTGACGGACTGTGGTTTGTGGTGAGAGCCGCACCGTCCAAGTTCACCGCAGCCTCGAGCAGCGAGGAGGGCTGGGGCCAGACACAGGGCTGCGGGGGCGACAGCGGCATGCAGGCAGCCCTGCCACCTTCCTGTTTGTCAGCCAAGGGAGGCTCAGAGGGCAGCGGGCAAGTGGGTCACAGCTCAGGCAGGGCTGGCTTCTGCTGCCAGGCTAGCCAGGTGAGGTCTCTGCCATCAGAGCCAGAGGTTCTCCCGGAACCTGAGGTCTCCCAGCCCCTGGAAACTGAAGGTAACATCCTCACAAGCCCTGCTTGAAGGGCCTTCTGAGAATCAATTCATTCCATCTGCACAACAGACCTGGGAGCAGCTATTGTTGTTAGACCCATTTTGCAGAAGACGGAGGCAAGAAGAAGTAAAGTAGCTTCCTCAAAGTCATGGGTAAATGACAGGATCAGGCCCCCACAACCATGATGCCACATTGATAAGTAATTTTAATTAGTAGATACTATGTGTGTTCAGTTGAAATCTACTGATTACAAATCGGAGCAGCAATACTCGCACTGCTGCCTTATCCGCCTTCCTGCACCCTAGCAAATGTCTCCCTTGTGTAAAAGCATTTATGGACTCCCACTGATAATTTTTGTTTTTTGTTTTTGGGGATACTAGGGATTGAACTCAGGGGTACTCGCCCACTGAGCCACATCCCCAGCCCTTTTTGCATTTTATTTAGAAACAGGGTCTCACTGGGTTGCTTAGCCGCTCACTTTTGCTGAAGCTGCCTTTGAACTCGCAATCCTCCTGCCTCAGCCTCCTGAGCTGCTGGGATTAGGGCTGTGCACCACCACGCCCGACCCCACTGCTAATTTTTAAGTAGAAATCCCTATCTGTCATATAAAGTCCTCTTTCCTATCTAACTCCCCACTTTTCTCCCCTTTCTTCTTTTAATAGGCTTTTTCCTACCCATATTACCCATAATTCCAGGGAGCAGACCTCCTTGCCTTGATTTTGGTGGCCCAGGCCTGGCCAATCACTTTCTGGAATTCCCCAGCCACAGTAATTGGATCAGGGAGGGGTACAGGACCCACCAGAGCCGGTGAGGATCTACTCTGGTACTTCTGTCTGAACTGGTGGATGAAGAAACTCTCCAAAGTTGGGGTTGGCTGAGAGAATGAATTTGAGCTGGGAGCTCCTAGTAAACATGGCATTCCCCTCGACTTTCAGGTCATGTTTTGACTCTCCCTAACAATTCCAAATCTTAATTGTTCCCCCTGTTCTTCCTCTCACTAACAATATTCTGGGCTCAAGGGCTTCCATAATCTCAAACTGGAGTTGGGATGTGCCTTGCAGTTCCCTGGTCGTGGGGATGGCTGGAGCCCACCTGCCCTTCCCCGGGGTTCATCCTTGGAGTGCAGGTTCCCTGCCTTGCTTTTTGCCCACAGAGATAATAGAGGCACCTGGTGACCTTAAATGCATAGGGGAGACCCATAGTTGAAGCATAGGGAGCTCTGAAGTTGGGACTAGAGGCTTGATTAAAGGCTGAAGCTTGCTACTTACTGAGTATCACCAGGCACATGATTTTCTCTGAGACTCAAGATCTCGGTCTGTAAAATGGGTCCTGCTGAAAGATACGGACTTGAGCAGTTTTCCTAGCTTGTAAGCACTGGACTTGCTGATCATGGCCTTAACGCAGGGGGAGCGGGTTTATCTTCTCCTGCGTTGTCTTTGGGCTCCTGGTCATTGTGAGTTGGGTGACTGAGCATAGGACTCTGAATATCTGGACAAGTTGAGTCTTCTAACTCTCTGGAATTTTCCCAGTGCCCGCCCCATATGGACCTTCCATCAGCTTGCAGAATGAGTGCCAATTGTGGTGGGAAACAAAAGTAGACATTGTGTCATCAGAGTCATTGGTATTTGAGGGGCCACGCTTGCTGCAGGAATAGTGCCCAGATCCATTATTGACTCGCTTTTCTAACCAAGGCCTGAAGAAGGGGCACTAGGCATATGTCAAGGTCAGCCTGGAGGGACCAAGCCCTCCTACCAGGCTAGGTCAGGTAGAGCTGCCCTGGCCCAGCCTCCTTCTCCCCACTCAACCCAGGCTTCCCACCCCAGGGGCCTGGAGACCAGGCTGAGGACCCCTTTGCTGAGAGGCCAAGGAGAAGCCCACCCGCCCCCTCTCCCTTCCACAGCCTTTTGGCCAGGGACAGCGAGAGCCGGTCATCCACTGGGATGCAGTTTGGGACAGTCTAGTGTCTGAACTGACATGATATTTGTGACTTCATGTGACTTGGGGACTCTGCTGAAGAATGGGCAGTAAAGTCATGGGCCTGGGGGCGGGCTCACTCAGGAGAGGTCACACTACGTGAAAAAAGTGTCAAGGAAGCAGAAATAAAGGTGTGTCCTGTGATACTAGGAGATGTCCTTGTACAGCCGCACCTGCCGTCGCAGAGCTGTGAGTTGGGGAACCAGGTGTTGGAAATTCTACCCAGAAGAACTTGGAGGGCACGCCCCGGGGGGGTTTCTGGGGCTAAAAGTCTGCATTACACTCCAAGAGCCCGGCCAGGCTATCAGCCCAGTGTCTAGGCACAGCCTCTGTGAATCTCCCTGTGCCTTCTGAATCCTCTGCCCAGAGCCCCTCCCCCATGCCTCAGTGGTGGGAAGGGGCCCCCTGCTGGGCTGAGAACCAGGTTTCCATCGATGGGGTGGTCTGGGCTGTGGCCAGGCAGAGAGTGATAATTACCATCAAGTTGTAGGGCCGCTGGGTGAGCCCCCACACCCCCACTTCTATTTGGGCAATGAATAGACCTGCCCCCAGTGAAGACGGTGTCAGCAGGGATCCGCCCACCTCTTGCTGGGTTTCCCAGGCCCCTAGGGCCTCTTGTAATAGGGGCCACTTGCCCCCTAACCAGTGGGTGACCAACTTTTTAATCTTGGAGACCCCTCAGATCCCAGCTGGGAAGTGGGATTTGTCCACCAGGGAGGGGAGGGCCTGTCTGGGAATGCCAGGAGGCCTCTCGGCACAAGGGGGTTGACCTGGAGCAGTCTGTCTCCTTTTCAGACCAGCCTCCCCATCCCTCTGACCTCCCCCAATCCCAAAAGCCAGCCCTGGAGCTTCTGGGAGGAGTCTGTAACATGCCCAGCCACCGAAAGCAAATGGATGCCTGAAGTTGACATTGGAACGGCTTGTTTTGTGCTAACTCAGGTGCACGTCGAATTGGGGTGCCTCTTTGCTTGTCTCCCGTTCTCCCTCTTCGGGAAGCTTCCTGTCAGCAACCGCCCTGACAACCCTTCACCTGGCCACAGAAGAAGGTCAGACCTGGCTGTCAGGGGTGAGAACATTGGGCCAAACCCTGCCAACCCTCTGCCACAACTTGCAGTGTGACCTTGGGCAAGTCACCTCCCTTCTCTGGTCTCCGTTTCAGGAGGGGAGCAGACTTGACACTTCTTGAGTGCCCATGTGTCATGTTCTTGACATGCATGATCCCACACAGGCCTTGACCATGACCTTGGGACCTAAGTCTTCTTGTTCCCAGTCCATTGCAGAGAAGGTGCAGCCTGGAAGGGATGAGCTGGTGTCTCAGACCACACAGCAAGTCACACGACCAGGATCTGAAACAGATCTCTCCTATTCCTCTGTCTGAGCCTTTTCTCCTTTGCTGTGGCCTCCGGGCATGGCGAGGACCCTTCCAGACTAAAGGGAGAGAGTTAGGACCCAGGAGCCCAGGTGCTCATGCCTTCTCTACGGCAGTCATTGCCTGACCAGGGGTGTCTTTCCTGGAAATCATTCTCCTGGGGTTTAGATAAACTCAGGCCCAGCCCTTTTCATTTTTTGAGATAGGGTCTGGTTAAGTTGCTGAGGCTGGTGTCAAACTTGCTACCCTCCTGTCTCAGCCGCTCCAGTCGCTGACAATCCTGGTATGCATCACCGCCAACTCTATCAGATGATGCCACATATTCATTTGTCCATTATCATGCTCCCCTACCAGAATATCAGTGCCACAGAGGTGGGGCTTGCTCGGTTTTGTTCACTGTTGTATCCTCAGCACCTAAAACTGTGCCTGGCCCATACGGTATAGGTGGAGCATCCCTAATCTGAAAATGCAAAATAGTCCAAAATCAGAAACTTTTTGAGCACCAACATGACACAAAATTTTAGATTTTGAAGCATTGTGGATTTGGGATTTGGGGGACTCAGGATGCCCAACTTGTAAATATTCTTAAATCCCAAAATTCCAAAATCTAAAAGACTTTTGGTACCAAGCATTTCCAATAAAGGATATTCAACCTGTACTCAGATGTATTTGCTCAATGAACAAATGAATATATAATAACAACAGCAGTGACCACTTTGGGAATGTTCACCACCTGTCAGGCACTGTGTCAATCTGCACAACCCTATGAAGAAGGGCAATTATTATACCCATTTTACAGAGTAGCAAACTCAGGCATGGAAGGTAGCTAACTTGCCTAAATCTTACAGTCTCACTTTGAACTTCTACATATCTGGCTCCGATACTCATCCAAGAACTTTGACAATTCAAGAGTATTCTACAGCTTAAATGGCTTATAGCCACAGAGCCTATCCTGCTAAGAGCTGGATTCTGACATGGGCACATCCTGTGCATAGCTGGCCTGTCCTGGACATCTTGATCCAGTTGAGGGGAGAAGTACTGGAACCCATAAGGGCCCCGAGGACAGAGACCTGGATCCTTTCCCTTTCATGGGCAATGGTCCAAAATTAAAAACAAACACTTTAAAATAAAAGCCATATTAAAAAAACAAAACTAACTTTTTTTTTTGCCTTAAAATATTGCAAGTCAGGGGGGCAATTAGCAATTATGCTGTATTTTATTATGAGAAGATAGAATTCTAATTGGACTGATTTGAATTCCACACACCTCCACAGATTGTTTTGGGAATTAAGGTATCAGTTGTATCGGTAATTATGGTTTACCATTAAATTACCCCCCCACAGAAAACTGTCAAATTGTCTGTGACGGGCTTAAATTTAGCCCAGAGCCATGTCCTATGAAGACTGCGCGAGTCAATACAAGCCATCCGGAAACCACTGGGTGCCCTGTGCCAGGCGGTAATTACGGGTTGAGGTTTCCAAAGTTTTACCTGAGACAGCAGGGACAAGCGCCTGGCCTGCGGGACACTCACGTGAGGGCTTGGATGATCCCCCAGCACGGGATCCTGGATCCTGCCCTGCTGTGCTGTTCCAATACCTGGCTGCTGCAGGCATTCTGGAAAGCAGTGTGTTTTCAGCTGAAAGGTGACACTCTGGCGAGGTACACCAGCACAGGGGCCACCCTCAGGCAGGGAGGGACTGTGTAAGGCCCAGGACATTATAATCAGACAAATCTGGGATTGATTCTCTGCTCTGCCGCTTTATCACTGTGAGCCTCTGTTTATTCATCTGTCGAATGGGTACAACCATGGGCCTCATGCAGGGATTATTTACTGTGAAGATGAACAGAATAGCAGTGACAAGAACATCAGTCACGGGCATTCACCTTTGACCGCTACAACAAGTCCGTGAGTTGCTATGAGCTCTGTGCTGGTATGAGAGTGTGTTGGGTGGGGGAGGGGGATACTCACAGAATGGCAGGGGAGGCCAGAGGGGAGAGAGTCAGCGGGCCTCAGGGACATGAACTGCTCATCTTGGTCTCCCAGGCACCCTCAGGGGAACAAACAAGCTCCTGGTGTCTCTCCCAGCCCTGGACCCCCACCCTCCAGACCTCCAAGCCTGCCCCTCTGTGCTTTGATGATGCAGGCAGCGAGAGGAAGTTCTGTTCAAAGGCCGGGCACTTCCATTTCCTATTTTTTGAGGCAATACAAAGAGTCGAAAAGGGAAATCAGGGTGCTTGGGAACAGAGACCTGGCACAATTTTTATGACTTCCATTTTCTAGAGGAGGAGACCAGGGTCAGAGATGCTAAGCCCCGGCCCAAGTGAGTGGCGGAGAGGGGATTCAAGTTCACGCTTCCCCCATCGGCTCTGCTCCAGGCCTGTACCCAACACCAGCACCCAGGAGTGGCATTCTCAGGGCTCACACAGACATTGGGCTCTGGGGGCTCTAGAGGTTGGCACAGCCTCGGCATGGAGGGGCAGCTACCCTCGTCCGGCTCATGGGACCAGGCAGAGAATGCAGGGAGCATGCCTGGTCCTAGGTGCCAAACACTTCAGTCTGCACGGGGCTGGGGCTGGGCTGGGAGGAATGTAGAAGTTGCTAGTTGCTCTGACAACCTCGTTTTGATGCTGTGAAAGGGCTTCATCCTTCTTTGCTCCACACCTTGGCTTCGCCTATTTCTTCCACCTGGAACGAAGTCCACCCCTTTCTTTATAGCCCCACACATTTTTAGAAAACTGGGTCTAAATTCCACACTTTTCTTACAAGATTTTTTTTGGCAGGGGGTTACCAGGGATTGAACCCAGGGGCACTCGACCATTGAGCCACATCCCCAGCCCTATTTTGTATATTAGGGTCTCACTGAGTAGCTTAGGGCCTTGCTTTTGTTAAGGCTGGCTTTCTGGCTTTGAACTTGTGATCCTCCTGCCTCAGCCTCCAAAGGCACTGGCATTACAGGCATGCGCCTCAGCGCCCTGCCAAATTCTACTCTTTCTAAGAAGCTTTCCTGAGTCTCCAACAGGGCAGTCCTCTCCTTCCTCTGGCCATTATAGAGTCTGTTCCCCTGACCCTGGCTGTGCTCTGTGTGGCTGGGAGCTTGTTTTGACACCTGTCACCAAAGCATAGTGCTGGCTCCAGGAGACAGTCACAAGGTGTGTATTAAGTGAATCAAAACTGTTTTCTTCCCCTAACAAATTGATTTTTCGTTTTTGTACTCATGACATGCAAGATACTGGACATCTTCTCTAATTGCTGCCTCTAATCCTCTGAGGCAGGCACGAGGTTATTCTCTGGGTGGTAGAAGCAGAATCTGAGCTGCCAAACCTGCCCAAGGGCATCTATTAAATGGAGCAGCTGGGATTCACACCCAGGCAGCCAAGCGCCACATCCCTGTGTGAGATGCCATGTTGGATGTCCTCGGCACCTGTCTGTCTGTCTAGAAGTGCCTCAAATGGACCCAGTCAAAAGAGGGAGGCTGTATTTTCTCATTTCAACAAGTCTTATATCCATAAAAGGTTTTGAGGGGTCGGGCATCTTTTCTCCTGAATATAGGACTGAGAAATATTAAAGGGGGAATTAACATTTTTTTTTTCTTTTTTGTGGTGGTGGTAACAGGGGTTGAAGCCAGGGGTGCTCTACCACGGAGCCACATCCCCAGCCCTTTTAATTTTTTTATTTTGAAACAGGGCCTCCCTAGTTGCTAAGGCTGGCTTTGAACTTGTGATCCTCCTGCCTGAGCCTCCCGAGTCGCTGGGATTCCAGGTGTGTGCCACCCCGTCCAGCTAATTTTTACTTTCATTATCTATTTTTCTGCAGTGCAGGGGACTGGGTCTAGGGTCTTATGTGTGCTGGACAAGCACTTTCCCACTGAGCTACGTGCCCTGCCCCTGGCTTTTTAATGGGGTGGGGAAAGCGAGGCCCGCATAGCCTCCTTGAAGAGACCCAGCAGAGCAAAGGAAAGAAAAACTACACCTTATAGACCACAGAGGTCCCTCACACTTCACGGTGGGGAAGGGGAGATGGAATCCTGTAAAATCTATGGTCTGTGCAGGATAATGGTCAGGGAAAAGGCATGGGAGTTCTCCTCTTCCAGCACCATCCATGGTTGACCACATGGGCTTGCTATCAATTTACTAGCTGTGTGACCTTGAGCAAGTTATTTAACCCCTCTGATCCTCAGTTTCCTATCCTCAAAATAAAAATAGCATTTGAAGCTACAGTAACGACTCCAGGACATGATGAATGTGAAGGGCCTCACACAGGGCTTGGCATTTGCCAAATGTCTGAGGAGTACTGTTCTTACTGATGTGTTGTTCAAGGCACAGATAGTTCCAGTCCACCTTTGCTCCCTTCATTCCAGCCCACACCAAGCAGCCATGATGGCTTGTCCAAGTCTATTTTCTGTTGCTGCAACAGAAGACCTGAAACTGGGTAATTTATATGTAAAAAAGGTTTATTTTGGCTTATGGTTCTGGAAATCCAAGAGCCCAGCAGGAAAGTAGAAGGGAAGTCGAGCCAGCTGCTCTCAAGACAACTAACCTCCTCTCATGGGAACCACATGAATCTCTTCATCAGGGAGGTGCCCACAAGACCCAGCACCTCTTAAAGGTCGCACTACTTCTCAACACTGTTAAGTCTTGACCTGAGTTTCGGCCACATTGAAACCACAGCATGTCTCTCTGACTTTGCCAAGCCTCTGTGCCTTTGCACACACTGTTCCTTCTGCCAGGAAGGCTCTTCCCTTCTCTTACCCCCTGAGTTCACCTACTTATCCCTGAGACCCAAGCTAGCAGTAGATTCTCCACGGCACTGCCCTAATCCCTCGGCAGCCCGCTGTTCCCCTGGGCCTGAGCTCCTTTAATTCAGCCCTGACCACAGTGAGCAGTAGGTGGGACGGCTATCTGGGTGAGAGCCTGGCGTGCAGCAGTTGCCCACACATGACATTAGGAGCTGGGACTGCCTTCACGGGCAGCTTCCCCACCTGACAGGGGCCTGGCTTCCTCATCTACCCATTTCAGCACCTTAGGTAACACCTGCCACTCAGTGACTCCATTCTCCGTCTCTTCTAGACCTTTGCCATTTGGGTGTGGAATCTCCCGGTGACTAGGGCTGGTGGGAGGTGATGGGGGCCGTCAGGGATCCCACCTCAGAAGTTGCGGAGGCCACAATATCCTACTCTGTACAGGGTTGGACGAGTGACCCAGGCTTGACCAGCTGGATGCTCCCCCATCTTGCCCAGAACTCTCACCTGGTGGTGCCAGCCACCAAGGGGTGGCAGTGGTGCCCAGTAGGGCTGGTGCCTGGGCAGTGAGGAGTGGAGCTAGCTGGCTCTCTGTTGCCTGGCCTCCTTGCCTGTTCCCATCCTGGTGTTGCAGCCTCCCTGTAGACTCTTGGTGCTCCCTAAGACTCTTCCAATCCACTGCCTTGCTGTATCCTAGCCTGCGTTGGATTCTTTCACTTGCAACCAGGAGCCTGGTGAGATGCAAGCAGATTTGCAATTGATCAAAGTGTATTTTTTTTTTGTACCAGGGATTGAATTCAGGGACACTTGACCACTGAGCCACATCCCCAGCCCTATTTTGTATTTAATTTAGAGACAGGATCTTACTGAGTTGTTTGGCACCTCACTTTTGCTGAGGCTGTCTTTGAACTCGTGATCCTCCTGCCTCAGCCTCCCAAGCTGCTGGGATTACAGACATGTACCACTCAGCCTGGCTATCAAAGTATATTTCTGAGCATGCCCTGAAAGGCTGTTCAGATTATATGTAAGACACAGGCATGCCCCCAGGGGACCTGATCCCCTGGAGAGACAGACCACTTCATGAGACCAATAACAAGACAATGCCATGAAGCTGGACTTAGCTGGTGTTGCAGACACTGGAAGGAAAAGACTGACAGCTCAGGTATTGGGGCCATCAAAGCAATAAATTAATGAGACTGTGTGAACTGCAGACAGGGGGACAATGTTCCAGATTAGGATTTGAGCTGAAGGGATTGGGGTAGAGGGAAGGAATTCTGTGGGAACCTGTGAGCCAAAGCAGGAAAAAGCCAACCAAAGAGCAAGCAGCCAGGTCCTTGTGTCCATCCACTTGGA